CCCACTCCGATGGAATCAACATAAGTACTTTTAACATTAGTGGCAGTTACACAAATGTTTGGTACAGCTGACACCCAAGCAGCGAAAAGCACAATAGYTTAATGTCACAGTCAAATGAACATGTTTGACACCTGTAGCTAAAGAAACTGGATTAATGGTGTTCTTATTTCCTTTCAGCAACTGCGGTAAGAAAGCAGATTGAGTGTCTTTATCTAGCTACCATTTTCTCCAATAGAGGCAAATTTCTGCTTCTCACTTAGGAAAGCTCTAATTGTACCTGACACAGCCTTCACACTGAATACATTATTTGGTTTAGAAATTTAATTAAAATTTGATTACTCTAATTTAACCCATATCAGTATCTATTTTGTAACTGTATGAAAGACTAAACAGAACTCTAATCTATTTTTAATGGAGTAATGTATTTAGTTTTTGCTGTATATTAGAAGTATGCATAAAAATCAACTATTTGCATCATAGGATTGCTGTGATACAAAAGGTATAGCGGTCTGCACTGGAAACAGAATCCTGCCATACATGGGGCCAGGAAATGGGCACTGCAGGGAGAGCTGAAGAGGTACCAACCCTGTGACCCCAAAAGCAAGCCTAAAGAAGTCAGGAGTGCTTAGAGATACACAGCAAACAGGAAAGATAAAATGCCACATCGGCCCTGCTTCCCTGTCATTGCCCCCCAGTTGGCAATGTCTGCTTCTCTGGTAKGTTTACGCTGGCACTGTGCAATACTTGGTGTCTTCAAGTGAAAGGTTTGCTGCTCCATCTGGCTTCTGTTGAATGACTCATGGTAGGGAAATTCTTCATGCCYTCATCTCACTCTCCTTTTCTAAATACCTCTGGAAGAAGGAGGAGGMTGAGTGGGAGACAGACACATTTCTGACCTTAATGTTCTGAGAGTACTTTGAATAACTAAATACTAAATACAGTTATTAGAACGTGCCTATTATTTAGGCAATAAAATTATTGTAATAACAACACCTAATCCCTTCTACACACACATTTCTGTTCAGCAATTATTTTTTTCTCTTTCAGCTAATCAGCATCAATTCAGTACTAATCTAGTGATTCTGAGGCTGTAGAAAGAAGAAAAAAGCCTAATCAGTCCCGAACTAAACTGACAAACAGGCTGCAATAAATTGTCAAATATAGGAAGCCAGATTCCTCAGCACTATAGGTAAACGGGCAAGGAGTTCAAAACCAGGGAGCAAAAGGAGCATGGAAAAGACTAGCAATCAACAGAAAGCAAAGGGTTTGACTCAACTCAGGATATAAGGTGGCAAACACCTGTTCAAAAAAATGTCATTCTGAGCTGTCTGATGGCCGCTTCACCATCTCAGGCTAAAGGCATGTAGTATCTTTTCTTTTTCAAGGAGATTCGTATGTTGTATCACCATGGTCAAATAAATGTGTCATTCAAACTATAATCCCAGTTTACAGTGTTGATTTTTTAAAAAACACTTGTGATGGTGATGGGCAATTTTATTGCTGCACGTTCCCTTTTCCAGGTCATCTTTGACAATGAARAAGTCTTCTAAGAGCAGCCTGTACTGGCTAGCACTGCAGAGCCCCTCATTTCTGTCTCAGCTTTCTTAGCAATACCTGTRTCCTCCTGTGATTCTTCACTAAATGTTCCCAAGTGATTTAACAAAGTCCTTTCTCTTCCCCTATGTGTGTCCAGCGACACATCYTATCTCATTTTCTCTCTTAAAAGTGGGGCAAGACCAGAGTCCAGAGTTCCACACTGGACAATGGCAAAAATAATGTACATCTAATTTTACATCTACATTTACATCTAATTCTTGACACTGCACCCTTTCAGCTTCATCTGTCCCACAAGAAGTAATTTCACTAGGAAATAGTATAGTCTTACCTACTACCTGCTTTGTCTCTTTGCTGTCTAAGTGCTAGGCCGCAGTGTTGTGTATTGTTCCTTTTCAACAAAGATGAGGCTACCTAGGGGCACTCTCTTGATGGGATCACTGCTTGAAAAGCCTTTGATCAGGATTTCAGACACCAAAGACAAAGGAAGAACTTCTAAGATGAATCTTGCCTCTTGAGTTCCAGTCAGCCCCTCTCTCTGCCAAATGTCACCTAACACCAAACTTCAGTACTAACAACAGTAAAAAAAAATCCCTAGGGAAGGACTCAAGACCATTTGAGATTGTTTTGGTCCTAACAGAGCCCTRGCATTTCATCCTTTGATAAGCAGTAGAAACCGGAGTACCAGCAGAGACAGAGCTCCCAGCAGCCACCCCCCTCCTTCCTTAAGGAGACATTCCATTAAAAGTGCATAAAAAATGCATGACCATTCACACAAAGGAGCAGGAAGAGCACGGCCACTGACATGGGTAAGAAATGGTTCATACTGCCATCTGCCCCTCTTAAAGAGAAGTGATTTGAAAATAACCAGAGCTATCTTCTGGACACCAGTCACAAAATACCTTGTCTCTGCCACAAGGACAACAAGGAGAGGGATACAGGAAATAAATATTGTGGGACTGCTATTATGTCCAAATAAACATCAAAAGACCTGTAATATAATAACTGAAATGTATATTACAGATGCATATRGTATTATTTATCTGTCAGAAGGTTCTTTTCTGTATAAAGATCTAAAAAACAAATCAAAACTCCAGGCTAAGGTTTAARCAACAAATCTACCACCATTCCTGGCTTACAAAAGGGATCCTCTTCTTTCTATGTCCCAGCAAGGTTTAAGAAATGCAGATATGTAGAACTAGTTACYACTCAAATACTTAGGTAAATTTAAGGACAAAGATGCTTTCACAGGATTATATAGGAACAAATTGTTACGAGCCCTTAACGCTATGCTAAATTATTAGAATAAAATAAATTTGGTTTTCCAAGGAAAGTATGACATAACTACCTTGAGCATCCATAAATGAGCAGTGATGTCATACCAAATTCGGTGTATGCTGCTTAAAGGATTATCTGTTGAAACTTGCTTATGACTGAAGCTACTGCACCAAATTCCGGCGTAAATATTGGCACTGCCCCAAAAGAATTAATGAGCCCATACTTTATATTCTCCTTATACAATCTGCTCACAGACACTAGAATAATCAATTTTCCTTAAAAATAAATTTATAATCACCAATATATATGGGAAGAAAAGCCATTTTAAATGGATTTCTACCTCATTAAGCTCTTCCTAATGAGTCTAGGGATACAGTTTTAGAGTAAATGAACAGAAGGTATTTTATTTAAACTCAGTTAATTTTATTTAAAAACAGCTCATACTTAACAATACCCTACAGCTCACTAAAATGATTASTTCAGTCTCTCAGTTCACATACTAACCACCTACTGTGATTTCCTCTTCTTCCACAAAGGTTTGCTTTAGAGAGAGCAACTTCACAAAACACCCATGCAAAAAGGAATGATATTTTAAAACCACACCGGACAGGAGCTGTAGGACACTGTAGAAATGGCTAGTATTGAAAGCATATTGTTTCTTGCTCTTCTAGAAATAACTTCTATACTGAGGACGGGTAATATAATTTGGCTTCTGTCTAGTGCTGGAAAGTTTTCATCTCCTTATTWTTTTTTTTTTAACCTGGCTTTAAAAATAAAAGCTTCAATCTTCAAATTAATTTAGCAAGGCTGAATTCTGTATCAATCCATCCTTGCTTTGCTGAAGCCAATGTTATTTAAAACTTATATCTGTCAAAACTCTACAGACGGGAAGAAGGCACGTCTCCTAATTTAGGAACTGTTCAATGAATATCAGCATATGTAGCCAGAAATATGAAAGATGATAGAAGGAGCAGTTACAGTGCTTTAACTCTTCTTAATATCTGTGGAAGAGCATTTCAGAACTAGGCCCATTTTTTTTTTTTTTTTCAGATCTTAATTAAGAGGCTTGGCTATACAGATCTCTTTTCTTTACTACTTTCTTTTTTGTTCTCTCTGCAYGCTCTGAAGCAGTAGTATTGTTAAGAAGAAATTCTCCAGTATGATCAGTTCATCTTAGTAAAATCAAAAACAAGCATTAGATACACATACTTAAAAAAAAACAACTATTATTTTGTTTGCTAACTGCTTTTGTTTTCACACAGAAGCTGAACAGCATGTTTTACTTAGACCAAGCATGTAATATTTTGCCCACGGTAATAATTAATAAACAATATTTTATTTCTCTATTTCTCATCAAAAGAAGACACAAGCTCCTACAGCGGTAAGGCACTGTTAAGTTGTTCATGTACTCCAAAGGTGTATCCCTTGTATCTTTGCCTACCTGTCCCTCCTTAGAGGATAGCACTGACAGATCACAAACCCCAGCTTTCTTTTGCAAAGGCTACAGTATTGCTGATCTCCTCTTAKGCTAGCAGCAAGGACCCTCCTGCTTTCTTTACCCCTTATGTATCATACACGCTACTTTTAGGTATTTGCAAAGGAAACTCCTCAATTTCTGCAAATCCSATCTTTTCAAGTTCTTCCCTGAAGTTAAACAGCTGGTTTGTTGTGACCATGTTTTTCATGCAGACTTGTAATTGAGGTGTCTTCCCTTTGTGTCCCTCCATTTTGGTCACCCTGTAATCTGCAAGCTCCTTGAGTCAGACACTCCCTGTGCTGTAGGTCTACCAAGTAYCCGGCCTCTCCTAAACCTCACTGGGCACCTGCTGTTATTTAAATACATTAATAACCCGCAATAAGATGGRCACATGAGATCGCTTAGGAAATAAGCACATGGCATTGGTGCTTGTGGGCTTGGATCGCCTGCCTTCGGAAGTGAAAACAGACCCACTTTGACACCTAATCAATCCAGTGGGCGCAACCCTGTGTGTGCAGCGGTGCTCAGGGCCAGAGGAGATATATATGTATAATACACGTATGTGTGTGTATGTCTGTATGCACCCGTGGGTGTGGGCGGTCTCGCGCACCGCCTGAGGCGCGGGCGCGCAGGCAAGGGCGGCGCATCCCGCTGCCCCGGAAGGGCTGCGCGYGCGGCGGGCCGGGCGGCCATGGCGGCGGCGCGGCCCGTGCTGGCGCGGGCGCTGCTGCAGCAGTGCGTGTCCGCCCGGCTCCAGGTGACGCCGCCCGGGCCGCGCGGCGACGCCGAGTGGGTGGAGGTAACGTGCGGGGCCCGGGGCTGTCCCTGCGCCGCTTCTTGCCTGAGCTCCTCTCGGCGTCCCGGCGTGTAGGCGCCCCCGGCAGCGGGAGGGCTGCGCGGGGCATCCCCCGGGCTGCTGCCCTGCCTCTGAGCAGCGCGCTGCGATCGGAAGGAAAAAATGCTTCGGGCGAAGAAAAAGGCTTAGTTTTAACARGAGCGTAATGGAAGATTGCTTGGGCTGTGCTGAGTTCTTCCTGAGACTTGGGTTTATTTTGAGCCGATTTAGTTTAGGAAAGAATGCCGTGGCTTCTAGTATGAACATCAGCATAATGCTGGTGGCAAATAGCTGGTTTTGAAACAAAAGGATCATCGTTAATTGCTGCTTCAGGAAGAGCTCTGCAGTGTGCTTGAGGAAGGAAGGCTGGGTGCAGCCGTGGAAGCAGTGGGTCTGAACTTGGGAGGGTGGCTTGTTTACAGACTGCCTATGATCTGAAAGCCGGGCTTTAGGATGTAGACCATCACAGAGCTTAGGGACCGTAAATCATAAAAATCGTAATTTCTCTCCTCCTATAGCCATATGGTGGAGCAGGTAGTGAGGCCTCCAGACTATTAGAACTGTGTGTACTGCCTCAGGCTACTTACCAAAGCGTGAAGGCCGCCTTTGGGATGCGCTGTGCTGCCATGGTTAGCACTGTTTATGAATTATCTACTGTAGGATAATCGGTCTATGTAGGCCTGAAACATTTAGCTTTTGTGGGTTTTGTTTTTTGTCTTCTGTTTTTATAACAATCAGAAGACAGCAGATGGAGCTACATTAGTAGTTCACAAAAGTATTAAAAGGTAAAAATTCTAATATGCTTGTGAGATTGCTCAACAGATATAAAGTTTTTTAAAAAATAAAGTATACTTGCCCATGTCTTCCCGTTTTCATTGTTTGACTGTCTCATTGCTCTTAAAATGCCTCCTCGTTACTCAGAAGAGGCAGGTGGAGGCASCAGATCTAGTTTCTGCAGTGTGGTCTGGGAAAACAGATCATTTTCTTACAGAAAGCGTGTGCCATAGCACTGATGCTCGTTAGGCTGAAATGTATCCGTGCATTGCATTAAGGTAATGAGCTCTCAAAGTAGGAACCATGGTGAAAGTTGCTCGGCACTACATTATTTTTCTTTGGAAGTATCCTGTTTCCAGCTCATAATCTTGAGTGGTCCTCTAGCAGGTAAAAGCAGAAAARTCTTTGTGCCTGCTGTCCTTTAAACTATTAGAGAAGAGGCATATGGTTTTGCTTGTACATATTACAGCTAAATATATTAAAATGAGGCTATGCTRTTAAAAACTCTTATTTGAAGCTTCAAATCTCTTAACCAAAATCACTGGAAAAGCAATAGCAGTAAGGAATCTGTAGGATATTTGGCCAAAATAAGCAGCAGGTATTTCCCACATACAGAACTTCATATTTTGTCTTACAAGGCTTTCCAGGATACCTTGACTTTTTAAAATAAGTCTTGYATAGCAAGAGCAAGTTACCCTGCAGCAAAAAGGCTCTGAAAAGTTCATGGTCTCTTTGGCATGACTGCTTTGGAGRTAACTGAAATGAATCTTTGCTTGGGATGTTCCCTGCTAGGATAATACTGCTCTTTGTATATACTCTGTATTTATTTAAAGAAATACAAGCCTCATAAACTGGTACTTACCTAAGCTAATGTATGCCTGGTATTTCAGAACAACCTTGAAGTAGGTCCTCACTGTGAGGATTTCTAATGTACTATATATAGCACATAATGTAGGTGGCCTGGAATAGCTTCTGGGATTGAAAGGATTTATGCAGGTACTTCAGGAATTTTGGAGTGGATGTTCTTTATCTGGAAAAGACGTTAGGACTGTTGTGACTAATATTATGCACTTGTGATAAATCCTCTTCTGACCTATATAGGATTGCAACAATGTTTTGTTTATGAAGAAACATCAATTAGAGGGCATCCATCAAATATTTGTATGTACAGCAAACTTTTTTTGGTGTGGGGTTGGGGGAGAGGGAGCCGAGAAGGGAATTCTTTTATATATTAGAGCTGAAATAAGAGATTTAGTATATTGCACAGCTTTGGAATAAAAAAAAAAAAAAAAAAAAAAAGATGATTATTCTGCTAAAAATAAAACCAGACTAAATAGACTGAAAAAACTCTCCCTTATCTTATTTCCCCAGGTGGTGGTTCTACTTAAGATAGGAAAAAGAGATGTGAAGTACCAGGTTCAGGCTTATTCTGTGACCTATAGTAGATTGCCATCTCCTTGCCACAACTGAATCTATGAAATATGAATAAATCTTCTCTAGAGGTAGTGAATCTRAATTTGAAATGGAAATGCCAAAGAATAATTTATACAAGTTAGTTTTACAAACTGACACTGTAAGCTGTGGTCCTAAGTGTCTCAGTTTTCCTTATCAATTGCATTACTTTTTTTTCTTCTGAAATAGAAGAGTTTGTTTTACAGAATAAATTTGTTTTGCTAATAAATCCTGAAATATTTAGGGGAGTGCAGTTGGGGAAGTAGTTGTTTCTTTTTTTCTGTTAAAAAGCTAAAAAGGAGCATTTGGAGGCAGCATTGTTAAGGCTGACTGGTCTTTTGGGGGACTGAGTATTGAACGGTTGATATTGCAGGTTGCCTGATGTGATAGTAAAGTGTTTGTGGTGCAAAGTAATGTGCTTTGCTGGTTTATTTATGAAAGCATCTTCCTGATAACAGAATGATTTCCCAGACCAACTACRTGCCTATCATAAAGCTCCTTACAGTGGTTGTCCTTTAATTTAAAAATGTTGCTTTGTGTTATCTTGTAGGCTTTGATTGCTTACAGAGGACTTTGACAAATGCCTTTGTTGGAAGGTTCAAAGTTCCTGGGACTGAAAAAGAATACATATTCATACTTAATCTTTACCTATCCATCTTTAAAACTTGTAGATGATATGTGGTTTTCCTTGATTTTCTTAACTGRGTTCCTGCCAAAGATATTTTTACATATGTCTCTTATCAGTTTCAAAAATATTGAATACCAGAAGTCTCAAATTAGACTGAGCGTCTGTGTGTTCCATRGGGTAGTCCCTTCTAATGTAGTGGTCAGATGTATGTGTCATGAAATTATTTGGCCTATTTTGTCATAAATTATAAATAGTTATATATATGCATTTGAGCTCTTTTACTTATATCCTAGTGCTGGCCTGTTTCTGGTACTGGCCTAGCATGTATGGATAGCTAATTTTGACAGCTTATATCGCTCTCACATTTGAACAGATAGTTTGAAACTTCATTTGAGGGTCAGGTCATATAACTTCTTTAACTGTTTATGGAATATGGGAATATTCTGCAGTGGTCAAAATGAGCTTTTAAAAAGGAGCCCTTTGCAGCCTTCAAAACAATCTCAGCATGYGATGTTTTTCTACATCTCTCATTCTGAGTGCTCAGAAGAGCATTCTTGTTTCAGAAGTTAGTCACCAGAAAAAAATAGTTGAGAAGGCACATTTTTTTCAGTCAGTGCCTTGGGCATTCTGCTCAATCCTTGCAGTAACAAAGGGAGAACTTATATGCCTCTTACATTTAGTTAAGCRCTATTTCTATCTGAGCAACTTTTCTTTTTAACAAAAGGGAGTGTGGGGGAGAATGTGAAAAAGRTATCTTTAAGAAACCATTCACGTTCTGTATCCTTTTGCAGTGACAACATCATGCTCCTTGCCCCAATATAGCTAGCGTCTTTGAAGTTGTATTTTACAGTTACTATAAGCTGATACTTTTTTCTCGTGAGMATATAAGCATACTTATTCCTGACAAAGCAGGTGGCGGTTTGCCAAAGCCTGTGTATTGTATGCCTGGGGGCATACAAGTATCCTTGCTGTTTGCTTCGATCATAATCTTAATTTCTGCAAAGACTTTTTCTTGACAACTGAAGAAGTCAAACCCTCTAAGCGTACTTGTGGATGACACAGCCACTGTTGGTTGCAGATCCTATCAGTTTCTCCTAATTTACCAGTTGTTACATATGTATTCGTTGTGAACTATACAAAAGTAGAAGAGCTACAAAAGAATTGCCCTGTGCATTCCTCTCTATACTGACCTGATTTCTTTCTTGGTTCTTACAAATAGTCTCTGAATGAAGGCTAAAGAAATAGTATAACCTTGAGTCTATGGAAGTTGGGGAAAGGCCATACTTTAAATGTTTCATCCCAAGTGTTAATACTCCTAATACATTATAAATGTTAAGATTCTTAATACATTATAATATTCTGTACACCTCGAAGCTGTTATTGATCACCCTATTTAAATCTGTAATTAAGTGTTTTTCTCATATGATCCTTTACTGTGTGTATATTTTTAACATGTAAATATAATTCATTTTACTGACAAGTCCTTTGCTAGTTTTCATATTATGTAATTGGAATAAAATTCATGATGCACACTTAAATATTTTACCYATAAGTTTGATAATCAACAATAGAAAATCATGTAAGCTTTTTTTCTTAAGTAATCTAACTCATCTTGTTTCTGCTTTTGATTATATTAACCTATGTAAATCTGTATTTACAATGCTTTGTATAATACTATTCATTGTAAATTCTAACTAAATTTGTCTTCACATTAAGGTAATTAATTGGTTTAATTGTATATAGAAGCACTGTGCAGATAATCAGTATATACCTCAATAGTCTGCACTGTAGGACCTATAGATGTATGTCTGAAGCTATGGTAAAACTGGAGTATGGTACAGGTGCTCTGGGGAACTTTATTTTCCTGTTAATTTGTCTTTTTTTAATGACAGTTTTGATGCTAAGTGCGTGGTGGACATGGGGGAAAATGTTAATACACTTCTGTGAAATCTTTTGTAGATCCAGAGAGGGCTTGTTATCTACATATGCTTCTTCAAAGGTGCTGATGAAGATCTTATTCCAAAAATTGGTATGATATATTCTTCCTTACAAAACCTTGTATTGCTTAAAGGAGAATTAAGAAAAGTGATTGAAGAGGAAAAGTCAGCAACCACTTGGATTAAAGGAAGTCAAAAACCTCCCTACAGCATTATTCCAAGTCAAACAACTGTCTGAAAGTTTCTCTTTTATTGCTGTTTTCATCTCTGTCCATTTGCTAATGATTGATGTGCTACGAAGTCGGTTAGCACTGAATGTTCTTGGTAACATCCCAGGAAATACAGAAAATGATGCGCCAATTCGCCAATTCTCTGGCATGTTATATATATATGTGTGTGTGTATGTGTATATATATATATATATATATATATATATAAAATCAGGCAATAGCTACAGTCCAAGACTGAGCTCAATTTAAGGAAAACTATTTGCAAGTGGTTTATGGCTTGATTTAAGGAATACTTTAATTCTGATCTTGCCGTATGTGCAGTATTTTGAGAACCAGAGCCAGCAGAGGGAGTTGGCTGGTAATTAGTGTCTTCCTCCTCTTGTTTCAGACATACTATCTATACTGTTAGTCATTCAAGTGTAATTTTTCACATTAGAAGTAATGAGGAGCRTCTGCAGTTCTTGTCTTCTTCCCAGCACCCATTTTAATATTGACATCAAAATGGAGAAGATACTGTGAATAAGGCCAAATGGTTATGATTTTTTCTCAGCCTTCATCCCATGTGGTTTTGTTTTTGTTTTTAGCTTTTATTTTATTTCTTTCCATCTGTCAGCAGTGCTGGATCACATGGAGARAATCAGTAATCCCACATATTCAGCACAAAAGCATAACCTTGCTTTTTTAGGGGAGTTTGGTTATTTTATAACTATTGCTAGGTGMAGCAGAAAGACCTGGGAGTGCATAAGCACAGGTGCTACTGCAAGTGCTGAGAGCAGCTCCCATAGGGTTCCATCTCAGTCTTGGAGGTCACAGTTGTTATGATGTTAAACTACCTTGAAATCTTTGGGTGTGTTTAAAATAACCTGATATGAAAGTTCATGTTGTGCTTGCAAGAGTTTCATGAGAATATTACTTACGAGTAAAAGCCTTTCAGTTGCAARACAGCTGAAGTAGGGCAGAAATGAAAGCTCTGTCTCCTAGTAGGAGATTCATCCACTACCACCAACTGTCTTAAGGGATATTTTTCCTAAATATATTTTGAATATTGAATTTTTTGTTGCTTCTGAATTGTAACTTTTTGCTTCAAACAAAATTCTTCTGTTAAACTTATTGAATTTAGGAGGATCTGAGATCTGACATTTATCTTTCCCTCTTCTCTCAGAAGAAAAGCTGAGACCTCCACATTGCAAAGTGTAATTCTGCAGGGCACTCTAGCTCAGGCTGAGCTGCTGAACCTGCRTCACTGTCCATACTGTCCACGTTGCTTCAGCAGAATCATGTGGGGTTTTGACATTGCTACAGTTATAAATAGAATTAAAAGCAATCCAAGATAGAAACTTACCCAAAGTGTATTAAAGATTTCCCTACCTTCTACCTTGTATAATCTGCTTGATGCTCACACAAGCAACATCTGTACCACAAGTAATCAGGGCTTGGCTCTTAGGTTTCTGTGGGGAGCTTCTGCTGGAATCAAGTTGAGAATTTTAGCTGGCCAACCTCTTCCCCCAAAAAAACTTTTCGACATACTATATTAATATAATCTCTCATTCTTCACAATATTCAGAAATCTTAGTCTGATGATAATATTGACTGCCTGTGTTTTTTCATTAAAATTGGCCCCTTAAAATATTTTAGCTATACTCAGTAATTTGATTATTAGAGTTCAGATAAAGAACTAACAAAATACTTAAAATATTTTATTAAATAGTTTGTCACATAGCTCTCAATTCCTGCTTTGTTATAGTGTTATGTTTAATTTTTGTTACACTAATTCTTGTTTTATTTTTCTTTGCAGTCAATATGCTGCTGAATGTTCAGTTAAGTGAAAATGAAAGTGGCAAGTACGTTTCTGTTCTTGATTTGCCAGGCAATGTGCTAATCATACCACAAGCTACGCTAGGTGGTAAGCCCAAAGGAAAAAGGATGCAGTACCACACCAACATTGAAAAAGAAAAAGGGTTTGAGCTTTATTCTCAGTTTGTGTCTTTGTGTGAGAAAGAAGTGGCTGCCAATGCCAAGTGTGTGGAAGCAGGTGTTTTGGTTAAGCATGGCWCATATGGAAACAGACAGGTGTTAAACCTGGATACAAATGGACCTTTCACTCATCTGATTGAATTTTGAAAAAAAAAATAAATATTATTTTGGATACAGTGTTGGCTCTCAATTATATTGCTTTTTATTTTTAAGCATTAAATTATTTTTAAGCATTAATCTTTAAACTAGAAATACTTTCTACCTCACAAAAATATTGGAAGTAAAAATTCACTGAATTCTTAACCTCTCAGTGCTACTTAATGCAGGCTGTCCCCACTGCATTGGGAATTTGCAGAGGTGGGCTGCTTTTGGGTGGTACTCGGATTGAACACAGCACATACCTCCATTCCTGGGGCCTTGAGGAGGAAATAGGGAGGCATGTTAGAGACTGAAGTTACTGAACTGCCTTATTGGCTTTACACTGTCTCTCCTGCTGTGTACTGCTGGCTGCCTGCTCTGACTTAGTCCATGTTCTGTTTTCCTTGTCTTGTTGAATATTCATTTGTTTCATAACATAGCCTCAGGAAAAGTACTAAAACACAAAAACAAAAATAAAAATGGTATGATATAGGCTGTCATTTCACTTTTCTCTCTGCCTGAATTCCTTTCCTCCACCTATCTACTGAGTCTGTAAAGCAGAGACTGGTTTATATCCCTTATATGTCATGACAAGACCAGGGCAGAGACAATTTCACATGTTTCTATCTTCTGATAGAAGATGCTGCTGGAAAACAAAATAGCTGGGTCGTGTATCCTACAGATTGCAGTAAGTCTTAAGTTATTATGTGAAGTAATGAACTGTTTTATGTTTCATTATATAAGCTTAAATTGTGAATCAGTATTTCACAGACACACAGTATTTATGAATATCTTGCCACTATTTTTAATCAAGTTGGATGTTTAATCTGTAGACTCAAAATCTGTAGACTCAAAGTACATAATGAGTCACACTTTGAACAGATAAAAAGTAATTAGTTTTGCTACAAGAAAGTAATACTTTTTTTGTATTGCCATAATGTGTAGTTAGTAATTATGAAATACCTAAGAATGCTGAATTCCTGGCAATTGTGTTCTTATAGCTGAAAGAAAAACTATTCACATAAATGGTCTGAAAATAGTATTTAGGTCTCAAATTACATATTCATTAATAATKAACAGTTTTGACATGCTATATGAATCATGTGCCAAGTTTTTAATAGAGATGTGTGAATAAGATTGTAAAGTTCATCCTGATTTTTGTTTTCTGCTTGGGAGGCAGGAAGGGAACCTTTATGTTGTGGATCAAATCCTGAAATATCCTGAGTAACAGCACTTCTCACTGACCTTACGGGAATCAGTAGATCTCAAGCACTGATCCTCTGAGGCCTAACAGAAAATCTGTAGGGCACTTTTTTTTCTCTCTCTCTCTCCTCGCTCCAGAAAAATCTTCAGAAACCTGACAGTTCTCTTGTATTTCAAAGGTTCTACAGATTCGAGGAAAGATGATGTTGAAGTTAGTGTAAAATAGACTTTAAACTGAATTCTACCTTGATGTCACTTACCAAAAAAAAAAAAAAAAGTTCTTATGTAAAAGATGTGCCTTGTCCTAAGAACTACTGAAATATGACTCAATTTTCTGTRAATGCAGGATGATATTTTTGGATGTTTACTTATCTGCCCGTGTTAGATACCTTTATCTATCTTGAGATAGAGATTTCTGCAGTCTTTTGCTACAGCCAAAATTGACTGCTCATTGAGTGGTGTCCTTTATTCTGTGTTATTTACATTTATTATTGATTTATGATCCATTTACTGAAAGAAGCCATCATAACAGGGTGGACCATATTGATGAAAAATTGATTAAAATAATTTTTCAAGGCCACATGCTCATATCTTTCTGACATGAATATATGCCTTAAGCAGTGACATGGCACTGCTTTAGAAAGTTTTTATTCTGTAGCTAAACTAAAGCTCCAATAATTCTCCTATTCTACACTTAGAGATTATCTGTTAGATGACGTGGTATTCTGACTTCCTTGAAATAAGTCTTTATGTCAGTCTAGTCTGAGATCTGGGAGGAGGGCTCAAATATCATACAGTAATTCTTAGTCCAGGTCTTCTCTAACTCATTTGCAGTGTGTGCACACCCAGTGAACATGCGTGGACTATGGACTGTGCTCATAAAACTAACGAGTTCAGGTGCAATTGCTTATGGTCTGGTCTGTTGTGCTCCTGCTTCCTTTGCGTGCCCTTCATGACCATCTTTATCTCTGTTACCTATAGTGTGCAACCTGCAAATATTAATATAAAATTGCAGGGTAATAAACATCTCTTCTTACGCTTTCTCCCTCTGAAAAATCTATGACRTAGTGACTTTGTCTTCACCAAAGTRCAACTTAAAAATRCTTTTCATTTATCTAATCTTTTACTTTTGCTGTCCATGGCAAAGCTCTCAAAATATGTAGCACTTTATTTGAATATGATGGGTAGGTGTCTGCTAATTTGTTTTCTTGCATAATTGACCTACTTTGCTCATTTAAATGGAATGGGTATGCAGATGTTCATCCAAACGTGAAAACAGGTTTTGTGATCTTCAGATGTGGCACATGGGCATTGCATTATCAATTTTTTTTAGCAATTTTCCTGTGGCTCTATGACCCTGTGTAGCCTTGTAGTCCATTAATATCCTATTGCTAGTAACAGGCAACTACTGTTGTCCTGAGTTTGCAAGGCTCACAACCGAGGCCTATCAGACTTGATTTTTCTGAACTTTCCTTGGCCTTCCTGGAGCCTTGATTTTACCTGTTTTAGTTGTAATATTTTTTTAAGGATGGAAATCTATGGCTAATATGTTTCTGTTTTGCTTTGTGTGGTATAACCACAGTTTTTATAAAGTAACAAGTATCATGTGAAATGTGATACTAATCATGTGACACTAATCATGTGAAATGTGATACTAATCCTTTGTTAATAAACTAGGTATTCTTTGTTAATAAACTAGGTACTTCTCTACTATAGTGTAGAGAAGTAACAGATCTGTTTGATGCCTTGAAAAGAGAAGGCACAAGATAAAGTGTAGAGGAGGACTGAATTGAGCTAAGAGATGAGGCTCAGGCTGGAGACCCCAAGGTTAGAAACAAATCGCTAGTGGTCAAGTAAAGAAATGCAGACCTGGTGCTAGATAAAAGCAGGTATTTTTCTTTTTGCCCATGATAACATTTTGAATGTAATCACTGCAGACTGTTGCTTACTGATCTTGATGRCATATACTTGGTAGCCTATTGGATATTGGCCTGTTTCTGCAGTGTCTTTGACAGGGTGTTTCAGTGTAACTGTGATGCCTGGTCTTGTTTAGTACAGAAGCTAAACAAGAGTTCCTTTTTCTGCTCTAACTCTGTGCAACCTCTTTAGTCACTTCCTGAGAARTGAGTTCCATTCAGTCTGAGGCACTTGGTTTCGAGTAGTGCAGACCATATGAACCTCACCTGTCATATAAAAATAGCTTCTTTGGAGACAGGAGTTCAAATCTCTTAATTTTCCRTTATTTTCTGGTTTAGTTCCTAACATTCTCCATTTCTCCCTAGGGGCTTCTGTGAATAAGTTGTGTATCTGTTCTGAAGCTAGAGTGGAATATTACTGAGTGCTAGAGCAGCACTGCTCGTTGCCTGAGGTCTGTTCTTGTGTTTCTTGTAAAATACTGTTTCTTGTAGCAGTACTGCTGGGTTGCCTGAGTCTGTCGCCAAGCTCCTGTGTGACTGGCTTGATTTCTTCATTTCTCAGTTATCCGCTAATGTAGGTACCCGTAGTATATCATGTAGGCATATTGAGGAAAACCAAAGACTCGCTGTGTTAGTGCATTGCCTAGGACTGAGACCTGTCTGCAGATCCACAAACTGCTTTGCCTTAGAAATTGGGCTCAAAGTAAAGACAGAGAACTTGAGCTGCTGCTCTCAAGCTCTGTCTTGGGTAAAGATTGCTCAAAATCTCAGACTTATCAGTTTAGGTAATCAGGAGAGAAAAACAAAAACAAACAAAACCTTAGCAGTTAAAACAGCCTGAGTAGTATGAAAGTATTGCAAATTTCCTATTTTAACCAGCACTGCCTACTAGTCTAATTATTGCCTGCATGTGGCTTCAGGCAAAGCAATTTTTCTGCTCCACTTTTTCCAACTATAAGATGAAACTAGAATGAAAAGCAAGAAAAGGGGTTTTAAAATCACTGCTTTTTTATTAAAGGCAGAAAGTCACCTTTATTCTTCTTGCTTTGGAAAGCAGGGGCTGGAGCTGCATGAGTTTGACTTTGTCTTTTCTACCTCAGCTTCTGCCTCACAAATGTACCTTCRGCTGATGTCCAGAGACAGCTTGGAGTACCTCAAATGGACAGTGTTGTATCACTACAACTATTGCTATTTCTATAGTAAGTGATATACACAGTAGGGAAAAATAAGTAAATCATATTTCTGTCACTCTTCTGGTTGTGCATTGCTTTACTGTAATTTTAAAATTAATTGTATCTGCCTGTGTGTCACAATGTGCTCTGTTAGGTCAATACATAAAATGTGCAAGATTTTAAGCTGTTTAGATATGCCACATTAGGAAAGAGATTGCAAAAAGTTTTTCCAAAACCGTGTTTACTGTGAGGATGACTGAGCACTGCAACAGGTTGCCCAGAGCTATTGTGGAATGTCCTTCCRAGGAGATATTGAAAACTCAACTGGACAGGGCCTTGGGCAATGTGCTGTACATGACCTTGCTTGGGCAGGGAGGGCTTGAAATAGAGGTTCTTCAGAGGTCCCTTCCAACCATTCTGTGATAATAAGGCATTCCTTTTTACACATTTTAAATACATTGCAGTTTAATTTCATTTGCTATATGATTGCATTAAAACACACTTCTAGTCCTGAGATCCTTAGGTCAGGATCCTGAGATCCTGAATTCGAAGGAATACCTTCTTTTCTGTTGTAGCAGAATCACGGAGGTTTATGGAGCTATAAATAAGAACATTTTTTAGCTCAGAGGCATAAAAGACTCTACTACAACTGAATTGTCTGACAGAASTGATTCATGCTCTAAATCAGTCAACTCACTTTATCAAAACAGGTTAACTAATGAAAAGTCTAATCAGTAGTTCTGTGTACTGCAATTATTTGCCAGTTGCTTATTTTATTAACTGATTTGCCTTTTAAGCATTCAGCACTAATGGGGGAACAGGGAAATGAGTTAATAYCTAGTGAATATGTTTAGTTATTCCACTTTGCTCTGTATAGAACAGAGCACTATAAACTTGCATGCAAGTATATATTTTTATTTCAGAATGATGACAGTAAAGACAGAAAGCGATGTGTTATTAATGAGGGAAATGCTAATTTGAATCAGCGCATGGTTAACACTGAACAAGGTAGGGGATTAAGATCATATAGCTGATGGTTATAGTTTAGCTATAGTTTATTCCAATAAACACCGTGGAAAACTGAGCTAAACCCACAGGTGGAAGAAGCACTCAATATTAGTGTTCTTTTATTATTATTATTTTGAACTAATTAAGTATCAGTTTGGCATTAAAACAGCATTAGTTAGAGTTAGTATTATTTGGGGGCTAGCAAAGATCACTGTTGGAAAAAAATGGGGAACTGTCCTTGTTACTGAGTGTTGTTGAGKTTTTGTTCTGCCTTTTGCCTATGTAACATTTCCCGTTATGAGGCATTCATTCTGAATGGGATCTCTTAACACAGCAGACTAAACAAGAGCAGTAGCAACCATTTTCAATAGATATTCCAAATCTGGTTTTGTTTCTGAGCTAACTACTCTCAACCTCTCAAATGAAAATATTACCAGGGTCTTTCTATTACCACGTAAATGTCAGAAAGAGTCCTTGTTGTTTTCTGCAGTGTATTATTGGGGACGTCATTGCACCAACAGTCTCCGAATATAAATTGTTTACTTGACCTTTCTCCCCAGATGAATGGCAGCCCGCTTCATTCTGAGCAGCAGCAACTCATCCGATCACAATGAGGTTAACTGAGCAAGGAACGCTTTTCCAGAGGGTTGTACATTGCTTTCAATACTGAGAGTTAACACTTACAGCAGTAGGGGTTTGTAGAGCTGATTTTTGTGAAATGAAATAAGAAACTATTTCTGTACTGTATGTATGAGGCATTTAGATATTCTCCACTGCCATATATTGCAGATTCTTGTTGTAAAGGGTCATTGCAGCAGTAGTCATGTTGCCACCTCACAGGCAACTTGGTAAAATTGAAGCAAAAATGTCCATATATGGTAATGCAGACTGGTACTCCTGTATGTGTAGCAAGAGATAAGAGGTTCTCTGTAAATCTTACTGGTATGAACTACATGACTGAATACAGATGTTTTTAGAACTACACTGTATATAAACTTTGCATGGCAAGTTTATTTTTGAAGATGAATTTACTAGCTTATATAAGGGCTAGGCACAATTTCAGCCTCTACATTTACATACCCTAGGCATTATTCCCTCCTCACAAAGCCTTGCACCACTTCAGAGAACATGGCCTCAGGGAACTTGGTTTGTGGGGAGAAACACTAGTTTTCCAGTCTATGGTTTAACCAATGTTGCGCTTTTAGAATGATAATGCTCTGGGTGTCCCTGTTTGAGCAGGGGGTTTGGACTAGATGATCTCTAGGGGTCCCTTCCATCCTTAACCATTCTGTGATAAAAGATCATCTTTAAAATTTATTACTGAGTCAAACCTAGTTGTGGTTCCCAGAAAGCATTATTTCTTCATCAGTGTGGTTGCAGCAGCTGAGGTAGCAGAAATGAACTTTCAGTACCATCCAAATGAATATTACTAACAGAAAACAGACCAGACGTCTGTCTGCGAGTTTGCTCTACTAAGTAGGCTGGAAGAATGAAGAAAAAAAAAAAAAAAAAAAAAAAAAAAAAAAAAAAAAAAAAAAAAAAAAAAAAAAAAAGACTGGACATCATCTACAGGGCTATAAGGTTTGCTTGTTTCCTCTTAGACGAAAGTTGGGTAGAGCTGTTTTTCATTTAAGATGGTGTTTCAACTTTGAAGATAGAATTCAGAAAATTTCCGAAACAGAACATTTTTTTCAGAACCAGTTAATTTCTAACAGAAGCTCCAAGGACAAAAGTCATTTCTTATGATGTAGTAAAATCCTTCAGTGGGAAGGCCTCTACAGAACAACAAACCCTGTTAGAAATGCACAAGGTTCTATTCCTGACTAGCAAGGTAAGATGAAGAAGGAGTTAGGGACATGGGAGATGGTCTTGCTTTGGAATCAAAGTTTAGACTGATGAAAGCAAACTGTSCAAGTGCGGGATCTGACAAATGATGAACACAATAAACTACTGGATGTCATGACAACTGTGTTATCAGAAGCTGTGACAGATTCTGATCAGAACAAGTTGTAAATCTCAGTGATACCACCTAAGCTCTCCTGCTTTTTGAAATGCCTTTTCCACATGGAGACCTGTTACTAGTTGCTCCTTCCTGCTGCATTCCCCTTTTCCCTCTAGAGGACAGGCCTTAGTAGTCCTGTGGGGCAAGCAGGGGGCTCCTGGGGAGCCCATACCCTGCTGCAGGGCCCACCTGCAGCAGCCCCCTTAAGCTCCTCTTAAATCTGCCTTGGCAGCCTGGTGCTTCGTGGGTTTTTCCTGCAGCCTCATGATGCTGAATAAGCAGGGTGATTGTTCCCAGGTGAACCTCTCCGAAGCCACTAAGATACCCCCCCCMCACACCCTCTTCCCGCCCATCCCCGTGGCACTAGGGCGGCTGCAGGGCCGGGAAGCCGCTTCGGGCTGAGAGGGTGGGAAGCGGCTCCACCTCGGGCGCTCTTCCTCCGGCCACCGCGGCACCTTTCTCCGGGGCTGCGGCCGGGCGGGCTCGGGGGCCGAGGAGCGGCCGTTGGCGGTGCGGCGGGGCGCTGTAGGAGCGGCCGTTGGCGGCGCGGCGGGGCGCTGTAGGAGCGGCCGTTGGCGACGCGGGCCGTTGTAGGAGCGGCCGTTGGCGACGCGGGCCGTTATAGGAGTGGCCGTTGGCCGCTGGCGCTCAGGGGCAGCGCGGCTCCCGCCGCCCCCCGGCCGCAGCGGCGAGGCGGGGCGCGCTCCTGGCGCGGCGGGCGCTCGATGGCTCCAGGGCCGATTGCACCGCCCTGCGCGCGGCGCCTCCCTCCCTTCCTCCCTC